ATGCTAATATAATTGTATTCTCAGTAAACTGTTCTTCATGAGACCTGATTCCATCTAAAACAGAAAACAAAAAGCAATATCCAAACACAAAACTCAGTACGGCACTAAAAACCAAGCCAGGATTTATCATTTTATTTCTGTATGTGTTTTATGGTTGAGTTAGAATCTGGTTGATTTTTGTACCAGGTGACCTCGCAATTTTGTACTCTTTATGTTACCTTGAGTTATGTTCTAGGACTAACAGACAGTTCTCCTTGAAGTCACTACGGGGTGGACAGGAAGGATCTAGGAAGGGCAGCCCTATCAGTTAAGCCCTGCATGGTGTTTACTATCATACACACACACATACAAAGAAACACATACACATAATTTACTTCCTCTACTGTTCATCATTGGAGTCCTAGTGTGGTGCAATGGATTAATGTGCTGGACTACAAAGTCCGTTTGAACAGCAAGATCAGCAGTTCAAGCTAACCAGACGCTCTTTGGAAACCCTACACAGGGTTGCTATGGTTTGGAACCAACTTGACAGCACTTAACAACAACACCAAAGACAACTATCCATCATCATACTTCCCTGGTCCCCAGCCTTGAATGTATTGGATTCCACTGGAGATAAAACAAACCAAAAGGTGAAAAATTAAGAAAAAGACATTAAAGTCCTTGTCACAGATAGTCCCTTTGTCCTATAACATCACTCTTTCTCTCCTCCCAAGTCCCACTGGTTGGGAGATCTGCTGTCTCCTTGTTGGATCTCCTTGTATGTTCCTGGACTGGTTTCTTCTTTTCATTAGATGAGAATTGGAGATCTAATCCCTTTCTAATGCATGATTTGTCTTGAAAAGCATTCACTAGCAAACAACTCTACATGTTCTAAACATCTGTACTTACCATTTCTTGACGGTCCCGAAGAATAAGGAGATGCGAGTCTTTGGCTAAGCAGAATTCCAGACTAGAATTCCAGTCCTTTTTTTCCACTGAGAAGTAATAACAATAGTCACCATACCTCATCCAGAGGTCTGGGCACCTAGGACAACTGGCACAAGTAGAACAGCTGGAGCCTAGGAGGAAAGTGGACCTGGTTCACATTTTTGTAAACTACTCAGTCTTGGGAATTAAATGGGAGATAAAAGTGAATATGGCACTGCCTGTGTCTTCCTTGTCCTACCACCTTGGGATTTAGAATTAGAGAAATAAACAACAATGTATAGTCGCATACTGAACATTTCACAATGTTCAACTCCATCACTATTACTATAATTGCACTAAGCAAGGGTGGATTCTGACTAAGAAAGTACGGAAGGAAATGTGGCACAATCTAGCTGAGGATTATGAAAAAAGTACACTACTCATGCTAGAGATTTTGATGTACATGTACATATTCAGATCAGATCAAATAACTAAGGTTTTGTTTTGGGGTGGCTTTTTTCAAGTCTTTGTGACATTATCAGATGTGGCGCTGTGGGCTAATACGTCACACTGCAAAGTCATTTGAACTGCAAGGTCGGTGGTTCAAGCTCACCAGCTGCTCCTTAGAAACCCTATACAGGGTCGCTATGGGTTGGAATCGACTCAACAGCACTTAACAACACCAACAAAGCAGTAAATGGAAGAATTCTCACTGAACACTTTTAAATAAAGATAGATTCTTATTTCTTTAAAATAGTTTGATCATAGTTCTGTCAAAATAAAAAGGAACTGAATAAGTTCTTAGGGTAATTTCAACCAAAATTCTAAAATTCTATTAATTTTCCATTTCAGTGAAATACATCTGCATAAACTCACCATAAGCACGATTTCATAATGGACATGGATGAGTCATTATACAGTGAAGGCTGTGAGAGCTAGGCAACAAGAGGCCTGCCATGTTTTTCCAGGTATCACAAGTTTTCCTCCTTTGACAGGTGTTCAGTTCTTTTCTATAGCTCTCTTTTATGGACAAACACCCAGCGAGTTTTCTTTCTGTGTCATTTTCTGCTGTACACAGGTTCTGACAGTCACAGGTTTTATGGTACAATGTAAATATGTATGTGGATATATAATGGAAGAACATATTATGTACTTCTTGTACATTTGAGAATTTACAAAGTGGGAAAAGTAGTTGTTTTTTAAGTTAAGATTAGACAACTTTTCTATAGAAAGGCTCAGCATGGGACCAACGCAGTGTTCTAGGGATACAGTTGGCACTTTGTAGATTTGTGCCTTTACCAAACAACCATTACTTTACCTATTACTCACCTTGTATCAGAGTCCTGGTGTAATGCTCTAGGATAAGCACTGGACAGCTAACTGCAAGGTTAGCAGTTCAAAGCCCCCAGCCGCTCCTCAGAAACCCTATACAGTGTCGCTATTAGTCAGAAACGGCTCGATGGCACTTAACAACAGCCTGTATCAAAAATTCCCAACTTCCCTCCAAGTACTTTTAGGACTTAGTCTGAGGCAGAAGTCCTGGGGCTGAACTAGGACTCTGTGTAAACTGTTACTGATAATAATTCCTAGATAACATACACCCAAATTAGGACTCTGAACTATGATACCAAAAACTGAGAGCCAGATTTACAGATTCAAGGAGCCAGAATTAAACCTAGAAAAGTTAGGTTTAGAAAATGTGAAATTTACCTAAATGGGGAAAAAGTCAGAGAGTTTATTAAATTATGATAGATCATTATATGTAACAACATGATATAAAAAGTTAAATTCATGAATATCGTAATTATATCTAACTTTATTATCATAATACAAATGGTAGCAAGAAAATATTTGTGCTACAATAAATTAAAAAGTAATATATAATAATAGAAGCATATTTTGATCAGAACCTCTTCCTAATCTTGTTTTAAAAAATGTTTTTTTAAGGTGGGGGAATTTTTAGAGGAGTTGATACTTATGCAAATCACCAAAGACCAGGGGGCTGTATGTCAAAACAGGAAATAGTCATATAAGAACTCCCATGACATCAAATTGATCCTAACACAAAGTGGCCTTAATGGTAGGTTTATTAGGCTTAATTTTCACTTTTCAAATTGTCTGTTACGTTGTTGCTTTTATAATACAAAATGTAGAAAGTAAAAGATTATATTTGGTTTAATTGAGCACTTACCCTTGCACAGAATCCACTGGTGTAGCAGCAAACTCACAAGAATTATGGTCAGAAGTCCAAAAGCTACAGCCACATAACAAGAAAGAGAAGGCCTAGAAGATGCTACAAAAACAGAAACCAAAGCAAAATCCTGAGTCAGTAAAGAAGCTGAGGGTAAAGAGCATGACAGGGAAAGATAACCTGGGATTTAGGAACAAGGGTAATAACCCAGTGGAAATTGAAATCTAGATCCTTTTCTGGGTCTGTCAGACACTTGCTCTAAAGTCTAGTATAACCAACCACACTTTTGTCAACAAACACACTACAAGGTACAAAGTTAAGTATACTTTTTTCTCTTTGTAATTGTGGATACACAGTTTCATACTTTACTTGTGGAATAATAAATTGACATAACCTTTTTGGAGGGCAATTTGGTAAAGTTTACCAAGGCAAATAAGGAGGCCTGACTGCAAGCATGACTGAGACGAGGCTGCCCTGACTGAAGAACCGTATCCTGAGTCATTCCTCATCCTGAATTGTAACCTGTTACTCCCCTAATAGAATCGGGCTGGGAATCTCAAGGTCAGCAGTTTGAAACTACCAGACGTTCCATAGGTGAAAGATGAGGCGTTCTGCTCCCGTAAAAATTGACAGCCTCAGAAGCCCTATGCAGGGTGGCTGTGAGTCAGAACCAACTCCTCCGCAAAAAAACAATCAACCAACTTCCCTAATAAACCCCATAACTGTGAGTATTGTTTGTAAGTTCTATGTGGCCGTTGTAACAAATTATCAAACCCAGCAGAAAAGTAGAGAGTGCCGTGGGTGGAACAGTTTATGTCAGAATTGGTTAAAAAAAGATTGGAGTATGGAAAGATGTCTGACTTCTGTCTCACAGCCATCACCGTGGGCTGTTGGGCTGATAATGATTCTCTAATGATTCTCCTCCCTCTTTGTGACGTTAGACAGGGAGGACTGATGCTGGCACCACACCATTTTTTCCCAATGATATATATCTCAGAAGTGCTTTTAAGCTGTTGTCATTGGAAGGGCAATAAGTTTACATTAATGTCATGTTCAAGGATGGCACACTACTTCATATTAACCTCTATCTAGGAATGTTTTTTGTTTTGTTTTGTTCCAACTTGGAAAATAAAAATATTTTCCCAAACTTTAATTTCAAATTCTTAGGTGTCTCTAAGTTTGATGTTGTGGTTGTTGTTAAATGCCTTGGAGTTGGTTCCAATATAGCAACCCTGTATAGATAGAGTTTCCTAGGAGCAGCTGGTGAGTTTGAATTGCCGACCTTGCAGTTCACTGCTTATCCTATAGCACTATACCAGGTCATAGTATGATAGTGTCTCAAAAATCTATTAAGTAGAATACATACGTTCTAGTTTTGACAGCTTCTTTATTTAGAAACATAGCATTAGAAAATTAAGAAATTAAGTTTGCCTCATTGGGTCTCAGTGAGAGCACTGGAGGTTGCATGGTAGAATTCTCCTTTCCATGCTGGAGACCCAGGCGTGACACCCAGCCAGTGTTCCTCATGAACAGTCAGTACAGGACTGCATTGTGTTATGATCCTAAACAAGTTTGAGGAGAGCTTCTGGGCTAAAATAGACTAGGAAGAAGGGGCTGGTGATCACCTTTTGAAAATCAGCCAGTGATTGTTTTTACCAATGAAAAGCCTACGGATCACAATGATCCAATGTGCAGCAGACCCTGGGAATAGTATAGGACTAGGCAACGTTTCATTCCACTGTACATGAAATGTTACAACGAGTCAGGGGCCAACTCAGTGGCCTCATTTTTCTATCTAAATTTTAGAGAGATAATCCTGTAGATGTGTGTGTGCATCTATGAAGCATTCTGAACTTTTTTAAAAAAAGAAATTCATAGGGAGGGATGTATTTATAATGCCCCAATAACTGACCAGTTAAACACACACACACACACACACACACACACACACACACATTAAAAAGAAGGAATCCTGCATGACAATCACTTGGACTGATGAGACCCAGAACCCTTAGATTTCTAGTGACATTAAAAATTAAAACAAAACCATTTACATTTGTTGTCATTGTTGTCAAGGGCCAGTAAGTCAGTTTAACTCATAGCACCCTGTATAAGGTTTTCAAGGAAGGGATGGTAGGTTTGAACCACAGACCTTGCAGTTAGCAGTCCACTGCTTATCCTACAGTGCCACACCAGAACCCCAATAGAAGAATACAAAATGAAATGCACAAATATTAATTAAATATTATACAAAGTGAAAACAGTATCAAAACATAATTGCATTTATGTAACACCCATCATCTAACTCAAGAAATTTAGTAAAGTGAAAAACATTTTTTAAATTTACTTTGAAGAAATATATACTAAAATCTCTTAATAGAGGGCATATAGTAGCATCAGCATAGAAAGGAAAGTGGAAAATATCAAAGTATGATAATGAAGAGTTCCATGTCATATAATTATTAGAGATTTTTGTTTTCATATTTTGACTCTCTCATATTTTCTACAAAGAGTATGCAATACTTCAGTTTTTAAAAAAAATGTCAATGTCATTTTCAAAGCTCACAAGTAGAGCACCTTGGAAAGTTGGGGTAGCACCTTGGAAAGCTGGTGTCGGTAAACATTAGATACAAACGTATAACGTGTGCTGCATAGAAAATTAAAAATACCAACTAGAAACCAAAATAATTACACTCAAGTTCCAATGTATCACCTCCTTTGTGATCTTGAACTTATGCTTGAGAAAGTACATGTCTTTTGACTTAGTATTTCCACTCCTTGGCAATTAGCACAAATATAATACAAAAAGAAAAACATAATACAAATAAAGATGTCCAACGATGTGTTCTTTATAGTAACAAATAAATCTAAAGGCCCAAGCACACTGAAACGGTTTAGTCAATGATGGCAAAGTTCTCAAAGGGCAGCAGTAAAACCTGCAATATTAAAGCTAGATAGCAACAAGAAAGCTTCTATCAATGAAACAAGATCACAAAATCCATATGATTTCTTTAAATTATAAATAGTCATAGAGGCATATAAACCCAAGTCAATGAGAACATGAAAAAAATTAAAATAACAACTGATAACAGAAATGTAGGCAGCAATTTTCATTTATTTTACTGTTCTTAAATGCTTGTGAAATGTTTATCACAAATCCTTATTTTCTTTTAAAAAGGCAATGTCCCTAGTTTCAATGTAGTAGCTAAGCAATAGAAAAAGCAAGGTTTTGACAAATTTTGAAGAGCCAAAAGATTAAGGTGGTAGCAGTATCCCAGCAAATTGGTTCAAACACTATATGCATAAGATCTACTCTATAGGATTCAACAAATGCCTGTTGTGAAATTTCATCTGGGAAGATTCTCCACTCACCTCCCAAGATAGAGTTTTCTATATTAGTACCTAGACATGCTTTTAGGGACATTAGACAGTAATTTTCTTTATGGCGCTGAAGTCTATGCATTATTTATCACTAAAGGCATGAGTTGAGCTTAAAATTGTGTTGATTGTACTATGAAATGATTAATATTTCACTTGAAAATATACTTTAAAGTCTAGATTATTGTGTTTTCGTATTTTAAAAAGGCAGACAGTTTTCAAGTTCATTAGGAAAATGGGATATGGTGCCGATAGTTATAGCAGTAACACTAATTTATGAAAAATGTTGCTATTAGAGCATTTCTTATTCATTGTCTTATAGTGAAATTTAGTTTTAACTCTTGGTTCACAAAAGAGTATCTATAAATTTGAATGGCAGTTATCTATAAATACTCATTTAATTACTCCATGTGACAAATATGTCTCAAAAAAATCATGGGATAGTAGTCACATTGCTATTTTAATATTCTGGTTTTGTAATTTAAAAAAATAACATTTGAAAAAGTTTGTTTCTCTTAGTGTCAATTTGAATATTAGATTGCCACAATTAAACTATTATTTTATCCATTGTATAATATCAATCTGTTAACTTTGTTAATATCTGTCACTTGTCCATCTATAATCAATTTTGTGTAAAATATAATTTCTTACTGCATAAAGAATGATTTTACCTTTGGACATATGTTAGAGAACCAGGTCAGCAAAACTATCCTGTTATATGCTTAAAGCTAATTTTGCAAAAAGAAAAACTTAATCAGTGTATTTACCTTACAAGTTGGAAAGATTGTTACACATATGTTAAGTCTGATTCATATAAAGATTATGCAGAGAATTTATATTTTATAAATCTTAAAGGAGCTATAATTAAAGATCTTTACTTTTCTTGACTTTTCTTTCTAAAACATTTAATATCTTAGCAAATGATCGACAGGATGGTCGAAAAGCCTAATTGTCGGTAAATGGTCAAGGTAAAGATAAGAATATTAGTAACCACTATTGACCACCAAGTTATTTCAAATAGAAATGACCACATATCGTATCTTGCTTGAAGATGCCTTTGACAATAATGCAGTATCTGTCATTTGTAAATTTTCTTGTTCCAAAAAAAAGCAGCTATGTTCTATAGCTATAAATTAGGCAAACAAAAGTTATTTTATAAGATTTTTTTTTAATGGCATCTTTCTTTGTTTCACAGTCAGAAAAGCAGAGATGCATAAAATTTAAACAACGACTCCAAGGTAACTTCAAACATAACTAAAAAGGATAATCTTTCTCCCAACAAAGCTCTTGCTTTAGTTCAGGGGGAGTGATAAAGAATAACAGCATTGTCCTAGCTTTGTTTCCACAGATAGGATCATAGAAGTGAATGGTTATTAGAAAAGAATTCATCTGAGTTTGGAGATCAGATCCTGAACCACCTACCTAATTTTCATATTATTATTCTGGATGGACTTTAAATTGAACCAAAGAATTTCCTCAAATTATCCTTTAATCTCTGCTGCAAAAGTATCCCACCCAGTCACCCTTAGCCTATAATCATTATGCATATCTTTCCATAGTCACTTGGTTAGCTCACCTTTTTGCTGCTGCCTGCAGTCATTCTGAATTTGAGGTGTAGTAGAGACCTCTAAGATGGAATAAATGCAACTGTCAGTTAGCTCCATCTTTTACATGCAGTTGAGAAAATAAAATTACAAAAGTCTGGAGAGATAACTATCAGTGAGGAAGCAGATCGATCTCTCAACTGCTGGCAGGAAACTTCAAGTTTTGTTTAAAAAAAAAAAAGTTGACAACTCTCCAATCCAACATGACAAAAACAGAAGTAATGTTTCAGGAAATGATTCAACTGCTAGGCTACCTAGAAGAATAATTATTCTAAATGTGATATTTTTTAGCATCCACCACTCTGCAGATTCTCATTAAATACATATTGAATTCATTTAGCTTCTTACCTAATCCTATTGAGCAAAGAAAGTCGAGTAATCTTGATTATGGAAAATGGAATTAAAATAAGGCAATCTTAGCTATGAATTTATCATAGATTTTGTTTCTATTTGGTTCCATTTTGAGAAACCACATGCATGCTAAATGGGACTAATTTCATAGTCTTTTGGACCTTGTTGATAGATAAGAAATAGAGAAATGGATGATTAGCTACATGTGCCCAGATTCATTGGAGATATAGTGTACTTAACTACCCAGGTAGGTGGATATGACATACCCCTGTCTAACCCAAATGTTCTGCCAATTGTACCCTAATCTTCAGTTTTCATAGTATGCAAAATGATTACATTTTCTCACTTCATTGTCAGATTTGTACATTCAAATATAACTATAAAACAGGACAAATTATGCAAAGACATGAAAAGTATTAGTATTTTATTTCTAGTAGATAAAAGGTTAATAAACATTAAGGCAAAGCAACCCAGAAAAGAAACTGAAACTCTGAGAATCTATAAGGTCATCAAGACAGAGTATATAGAGACAGAAAAGAAGACAGAGGACAAAAACAAGGACTGTCTATTAATAAAAACATACGGTTCTACATCCAGCCATGATAGAGGAGTACTGCTGTCCTGCTACAAAAAAAAAAAAAAAAAACAAAGCTATACATACAAAATCTAGGAGGCAAGTGTTTGGGGGCACAGAACCAACAGCATAGTGATCCACGACAGAACAGAAACACACAAAGGTGAATCCTAAGAATCCTAGTGTGGTGCTGTTGTAGGATAAGCACTGGACTGCTAACTACAGGGTCAACAGTTCAAACCCACCAGCTGCTCCTCAGAAAGCCTATACAGGGTCGCTATGAGTCTGAACTGACTTGATGGCACTTAACAATGATCACCTGGCTTTCAACCTGGGGTTACTTTTTGACACCGAGCAGGAAAAGTCATTCCAGCCAGAGCAGCAGTGCCACAACAAAGCACAGGAGGCAGAGATTAGAGCTTTGAGCTGTATAAGTGGCTGGGATTTATAAGACAAGATAACTAACAGACGAGAACTGCACAGAGAGCTATCCGGAAAGCTGTGGGACTGTCCACAGATCCTTGCTTATGTACAGACACAGGATAAGATTCCACAAGTATTCACTGAGTTGGCCTCCCACAGGGCGGACTGATATCAGGTGTGGGTACAGTGCAGACCTGCCCAGAAAAGAACAACACAATGCCGAACAGATCCATCAGTAATCTAGGTGCCTGGTATGGAGCTGTGGGCTAATGTACTGGGCAGCACAGTGCATTTGAACCACAAGGTCAGTGCTTCAAATTCACCAGTCACTCCTTAGAAAACCTATGGAGGATCATTATGACTTGGAGTCTACTCAAAGGCATTTAACAACAACATAAGAACAAAGTTTAAATAAATAAACTGTGGTACATACACACAATGGAATACTATGCTACCTTGAAGAATAACAATGAAGCTGCAAACTATTACATAACATGCATGAACCTTGAGGACATTATGCTGAGTGAAATTAGTCACAAAAGGACAAATATTGCATAAGACCATTATTGCAAACACTTAAGAAAACATATCCATATTAAAAAAGAAAAAACAATTCTTCCTTGGTTACCAGGCATGAGAGGGAGAGAACAGTAGAGCACAGGTTAGGGGACAGACACAGTTGGTGTGTTGGGGTGGGAAGCATACAAGGAAGGGGAGGGCAATACACAAGAAGGAGGAGGAGGATGGAAGAACAAGGTAGGTAGAGAAACACTTAGGTATGATTGCATGGGCTAAATGGGACACAGGTAAACAGTGATGTATGCTCAACCTTGGAACAATAGGACTCTGTAATACAGGGATCAAGACAGTCTGAATGGGTAAAACAGGAAAATAATGTTAACATGTTTGACTGTTTTATGAATATTGGCTTTCCTTGCCTACTGTTATAAAATAGATAATTGAGTGGGATCAAAAAGAATATCAGGAAACATGATTACAGAAAGCTTGTAAGTGCGTCTTTAGCCTATGACTGATTGGAATACCTAAAAGGGGTTCTAGAACTTGCCCAGAGAAATAGGCTTCTTGTGGAGCCTTTGTAGTGTACAGGACCTTAGGTGGAATCCTGAGCTCCATCCAGACCAACCCGGAGTGGCTAAAGGAATAGAATATACATCCTGAAAGAAAGACCAGCAGGAAAAAACAAAAATGGCAGTCTATTTGGCTATCACAAGAACAAGCAAGTTGTTTGCCAGGGAGCCATCAAGGTAAGTGATCAAGTCCCTTCAGAACAAACCTCCCTCCAAAACTGAAACTCAAAGGGAACACACAAGCAGGCATATAAGCTCACTGGTGACCGCACTGGTCTATATGTGAGTGGAAGTGGGGGAAAGTCAGTAATGAAGAAATGGGCTGAGTTCAACCATGTCCCATGGGCTACTGTCAACCTTGATATGACAGACAGAAAGAAAAGGAAGCTGGTTGGCCCAAAGTTTGGGGAGACTTGGGAACTCCTGAGCCCATGGACAATGACCTAGCCACTGTAGGCTAGAGCTGATATAAAATGGGAGGAGGTGCACAAGAATGTTTGAACTTGCAGATAGCACCCATTTGACCTAGCTTCCATGGCTTGATGATCAGAACTTGACTAGAAGAAGATGAAGACATTTGATACGGGAAGCAAGTATAAATTGTTATAATTTGATGAGCATGGCCTTTACTTATAGATATAGTAGCTCAAAATACCAACCAAGAGAGAAGGAGTCTTCACATCAAGGATCAAGACTATCCCCTCAGTATACAGGTTTAATACAGACGGGCAATGTAGACACTGGCTAGCTAAAATAAGGAGGGGCTATATAAAGGCATGAACATTGTTTCGTTCTGCTGTGCATGGGGTCGCTATGAGTCGGTTCCAACTCGATGGCACCTGACAACAACAACAACATATAAAGGCATGAAGGAGCTCTGGCAGTGTAGTGGTTACGAATCAGGCTGCTAATCTCACGGTCAGCAGTTCAAAACTACCAGCTGTTCCGTGGGAGAAAGATGAGGTTTTCTGCTCCTGTAAAGATGTACAGCCTCAGTAACCCTGTACAGGATTGCTATGAGTCGGAACCAACTCCACAGCACATGACAACAACAACATAAAGGCATGAAATGGCTGGCTTACAAGTTTTCAAGAGGGACTTGAGTTTCAGACTGTGCAGAGGAAGGTAGAATCCTGACTGAATAATTCTCATCTTGTCTAGATGGGTCTGGTGAAAGGAGATGGGGATAGGATTCTTTTGATTCAATAGTGAGTAACTGTTATCATGACTAATTGCGATTGTCACAACTGTAAAGGTCAAAGTTGTGTAACATAAAGGGGAGAGTAGTTAATCTTACATTCCAGGAACAGAGGACCCTAGGACCACCAAGAGAGAAGAGCATGAGCTGAATGTGGGCCCCTAATCAGAGAAGCAGCGACACCAGAGATGGAGGCTGAGGAGATGACACGGAGAAATAAACCAGCTGTGTGCTGGAAAAAGAAAGGCTGTGTGCTGGTGGCCAGGAGATTGGTTTGCAGAATGCACCCTTTGGTTGTTTAAATGACTATATATTCCTGTGTTTTTATGTCCCTTATTAAAAAAGGGAATAGAAGCTAATACTGTTAAATGATGATACATGGAGATTATAATCATTGCAATGAAACAAAACACAATAGGATGAGTGTAAAACCTATGTTTTCCCATGTAAACTATCACTCACAATAAAAACTTAAAAAATTAAACAATAAAAAGGATGAAGTTCGACATCCTTTAAAGGAATACATACACTTTGCTGCTGTCTGTCATGGTGAGATGAGATTCTCTTGTCCCCTGTACCCTATAAAAAGTCACTTTGAGGAGTAGAACTTTGGAAACATATCATGGCATCTATGATTTCCCTCACCTGGGTGATCTATGCTGTCTTGTCTTGTTTTTATTTCCTGCCTAAAACTTAACCCTCTCTATTTGTTGTTCTTATTGTTAAATGCTGTTGAGTTGGTTCCGAATCACAGGACTCTGTACAGGAGCAGCTGGTGGATTCTAACTCCTGATCTTTGGTTTGCAGTCCACTGCTGATCCTACAGCACCTCACCAAGAGTCTCTAAGGTGGTGGTAGTTATGTGCCGTAGAGTAGGTTCTGACTCATAGCAACCCTGTATCGAGTTTCCAAGGAGCAGCCCAGTGCTTTATCCCATAGTGCCACACCAGAACTCATAAACACACACAAAACCACAAGATGGGGGCATGTCAGACAGCTACAGGAACCTGATAGACCTCCCAATGGTCAACACAGGAGTGATTTGAGCAAAATAAATAATAGTTGTATTGAACTATAACCCAAAGTATTTTTTATAAGCCACAAGCATAAACTGATATAAAAAATTATTAAGTAAATAACTCAAAGCAAATCACAAATATTTTCTTGTATTTTAACCTGGAGTCCTGGTGTAGCACTGTGAGATAAAGTACTGAACTGCAAGGTCAGTTTGAACCACAAGGTTGGCAATTCAAATGCATAGCTGTTCCTATACGGGTCACTATGAGTCAGAACCAACTTGGTGGCACACAATTGTCCAGATGTTGGAATTAATAGCTATAAAAGTATGTTTAAAGGCCTAAAGAAAAATATAATCATAATGAATGAAAAAATGAAGACTGCACAAAGAAATAGAAAATATATTTTT